GCACGCACGACACGAACCCGAAACCGAAATCGATTTCCCGATATGGGGTGTCTCCGTTTCACGTCGGACTCACCCCTCAACCTCCGACAAATGGGTGTAGCTATGTATTATATACAATTACATGTATACAATACACCCATCGAGGTGTTTATGTATCGATGTGTTAATTACTCAGTTGTTTATACATTGATGTGCAAGATTTATTTGTTTATGTGTATGCATGTGACATGTATTGTGTCATGTGTTGACTTGAATGTCAGAGACTATATGCTTACACTCATCTACTTACATGTATGTATTGAATTAGATACACGACGCATGGTTACATGTTATGATATGAATCCTGTTCCCGCGAGCATAGCGTCCTGGGCATCGGGCTTCTCTTCACTGGGCCCCGCTCCGACGTCGCCGGCCTTCGGCCCTCACTTCGGCGGGTGCCCGTGGCCACGCTGCTGCTCCCTCCTGCTGTGGGGCCCGCGCTGGGGCCAGCACTCCCTGGCCCAACCACCGACGCCCTCCGAGCAGCCCGACGGAACTGGCACACCCAGCCTGGATCTCCGCGCTGGCGCCTTCTTACCCCCCCCCATTCCCTGGCTGTAGGTTCAGCCTAGCGTCTTTGGCGCCAGAGCGAGGTGGAGGAGCAAGACCATGACCAGGAGAAAGACAACGTGGAGGGAGGGGGACTTCGCCGGGTGATCCATCGGGCCTCGCCTCAGAAGCTCCAGCCCCCATCCCGCAACGCCGCCCCCCCCCCGAGCCGATGCAGCGCCGATGCAGGCAGCGTCCCCCGCGGCCGCTCGCAAGAGGGAGAAGGAGTTCGCCTGGATGGACTCGGACGACGAGGAAGGGCCTGGGAGAGCGGCCAGGGGAAACGCGAGGGGACGACAGGCTCAGGGGGGCAGCGCTGACCCCACCTGACCAGTCCATCGCTGCTTGGGGCCGGGGTGTCCCACCCTGCCCAGGAGCGTGTGCCATTTCGCCATCGGGATGTGTCGCCGATCTATCGGCGAGTAAAATTTGGAGGAGGAGGGGGAGGAGGAGGAGGAGGAGGAGGAGGAGGAGGAGGAAGAGGAGGAGTAGGAGGAGGAGGAGGAGGAGGAGGAGGAGGAGGAGGAGGACAAAAAAAAAAGGAGGGGGAATGCAGGGGGAGGTCGGAGGGAGGGAGGGCCAAATGTTACCCACCCGAGCCAGTCCTCCCCCCCCCACCCCGACCGTGGCCCCTCGAAAGTGTGGAACGCCGCCCGGCGGGGCGCTCCAGCGAGGGCCTCGCCTGCGGTGCGCCTCTCTCGCCGTCGCGGGAGGCCGGCGCGGAAGTATGGAACTCACCACCACCAGTGAGGGGGTCGGGAAACATCGAGAAAAAACATGTGGAACCCTTACCCCCCCAAACCCGAACTTCGGGTCTTCGGGTTGGGTTGGGGTGGTCTGGTAGGTAGTCAGGAACGGCGAAGGCTCAGGTTTTGCGAGAAGTGCCCCTGGCCCAAAGTGCCCCCCGCAGCTTGTCGCTCCAGTTTGGAGCCCCTGGGGTCCCCTGGGCCTCGTGAGGGGTGCCCTGGAGGCCGCCTGCAGGGGCACCCCGAGAATCCTGGGGGTTACCTTGGGTCAGGGGTACCCCTAGCAACACCCGCAAGGCGGGTCCGCCAGCGGAAGGCCGGCAGAGGGCCCGCGGAGTGCCTGGGCTCGTGGTGAACACTGCACCAGTCGGCTACCCTCAAGCAGTGGCGAAGCGTCCTGGCACGCCTGCAGGCTCACGAAAGGATGTTCCAAGGGCATTTTGTGGTTTGCACGACATGTTCTCAGAACATTTCTGGCCGATGCTGTCTTGTGTTAACAAATCTGGTTTATGATCAACATTGTTTTGTGATTCGATCGCGTCGCTCATTCCGCCGGCCCTGGAGCCCCCTTTAGGGCCTCTTGGGGGCCTCATGGGGACCTCTTGGGAGTTTCTTGGGGCTCCTTGGCGGCGTCTTGGGCGCCCCCAGGGCCTCTTGGGGGTCTCTTGGGGGCCTCTTGGGGCGGGAGGGGGGGCAGTCGATTGCGGCCCACCTCGAGGCCACGATCCCCGTGAGGGTTGTCGAAAAATGGCCCTCCCTTGGAGCGCTCTGGGGACCTGACCGGGACCTGACCGGGACCTGGCCAGGGTACTTTTCGTCCGGGGGCCCCCAGGGGTCAGGCCACAAGGTCTCAGCAATGAATCCTGAGAGGATTTTGAAACTCTCGGCGGGAACGAAGAGCCCGGAGAGACGCGAGGAAAGCTCGCGTGAAAATCGCAGCGGAAATGTAAATTGCCCGTGTTTCCCAGCGATCGGGCGTATCATCGGCTAGTGTTGCCGGCCTTCCCATGTGATTTCAACGCGTGCCCAGTGTATATAAAAACCACCTCCTCACTCTCCCCCTCCTCGGCCTGGTCCTTCTCCTCGTTCAGCAATTGCTGATGTTCGATACACTTTACGGGGAAAAAGGCGCCCTAACCTCGGCTCAGGCATGGGTACGCAAACCTTAGTTTTGCTACAATCTCTGGAAAGCACAGCCCTTGCAGGACTACGTCTTCTCGGCGGCAGAGTTGTGTGCGCGGGGGCCCCCCCTCGCACTTGTGACCTTGATTGAGCGCCTGCCACCGGGCCCGGCGAGGTCGCGGGCGGTTGCGTTGCGAGACTTTCGCGCTGCCCGCTGTTGATACCCGGCGCGCATGGCAGGCAGCTCGACCTCAAAACTTGCAGTCGGTCCTTTCCTCAGTAGTCCGCCCACAACATATTGCCATCCATGTCGACTTGACAAGGTGTGAATTTCGAAGTGGATTCCGGGTGGATTTCGAAATGGATTCCGACGTGGATTCCGACATGGATTTCGAAGTGGATGTCGACAGTGGGATGACGTGATTTCGGGTTTGATTTCGGAAGTGGATTTCGCGGTGGATTCAAAGTGGAAATATTGGGTCGTTTTTTTGGCACCCCTCACACACTTGACCGCCTTCGCAAGGCCGGCGTGATCTGGCGGCCGTCCCAGGTGAACAAAAGGCCACCGCGCCATGGTTTTCGGCGCGTCAGCCCGTGCGGCGGTGCGTGCTTCTGAATGCCGCGCGGACGTCTGGGGTTGCGAGACTTCCGTCCGTGGCCGAAGCTGTCCTCCAGGCGTGGGGGCACCGCTCGCAAGTAGCCGAGGGCAGCCGCGCGCTGCGTTCTGGCGCTTCCGCACGCGCGGGGGCGAACGCCTCAGAGTGCCAGGCACGCGTCTGGATGCGTGGGGTATCCCACGCTTGTCACGATTTCGCAGCAGGTGCGGGGACGCCGCTCGAAGGCGAGTCGGGCTTACCGGAGGTAGCGGGTAATCCAGCCAGCGCAAGGCGCAACCATGCCCTTCGCCGCGTGTGGGTCGTTTCCATCGCTAGCGGTGCGTCTTCACGCGAGTGGGGCCATTCGTAAGATATGCTGCCCGTGGCGGCGACGCACAATACCGGGGTGGCGCGCCCGCGCGTGTCCGCGTCTTCATGGCGCGCATTCAGACAGACGAGATTTTTCATTCACCATGACTCAAGAAATATATTTGCAGTGCTTGCTGAGACCTGGCGATCTGACAGGGGCCGCTCCGCGCGCGCGAACTAGAAATTTTGTTGACCCATTACCGGAGATCTTAGCGCGCCTCTGGTCCGTTGGGCCGGCGAATTTGAACATGTTCGGGTTCTAAGAAGAAGTTTTCGTGATAGGCCCATAGGAATATACGTAAGAGTGACCCTTCGCCGGATTGACCTTTGGCGTGCGCCCACGGGTGCCCCCCGATCGCCGAGTGCGGTGCGACTAGTAGCGTCTTGCGCGGTCTGCGTGTTGCTCCCCTCGCGGCCCTCAAGACGCCGCGCACCAACGGCCCCCCTTACCTACGGTCACTCTTGCGCGTCGCCGAACCAGTGGCGCCCAGACCTCACAACGCATCGCGGGGGAAAAATGAGACGGAATCATTTCGGGAGGCAAAATAACACACATACGCAATTAATCGTCGATTCCCCAGAAAATATGGGAACTTATGGGACATGGGGGGAAGACCGAAACCTAGAAAATATAGAAACATGTGGGGGATCCGGATGTTTGTGTGTATTTATTCGTGTGTCCCAAGGTCAATTCATTGTTCTCTGTGTTCTTTCGGCTTGGGGGGGCCTTCGCCGCGTGGCCCCAGGGCCGCTCAAAGGTGACTCGGGATGGAATGCCGGCTTTCGGGAACGCGATGCGTGCTCGTGTGACGCTTGGAAATGATTCGGCCCTTCAAACATGTACCGGGCGCGCTCCACTACTCGCAAACTGCCGACTTGCAAACGCCCAAAGAACACATGCTTGCTTCGATGTAATTTATCGTAGATCCCCCGCGGCGGATCCAGGCGATTTGCGATTAGCTACTTTGCGAGTAGTGGAACGCGCTCGTCTAAACATGGAGTTCCCGCTGAAGCGTTGGGCACGTTTCAGGATCGGCGCCCTGCTCCCGTCGCTCAAACTTGCGTTCTCGCCGCAGCGCGGGCCACGACTTCTTCCTTGTCGTTGCAGTCCCACTCCTTCCCCTCATGGGCCGACAGGGACGTGGGAGGCCCGTTGCGAGCCGAGGGGAAAAAAACGTCGCCACGCCATTCCCCTGACAGGTATGGAACGACGGTCCGCTATTTCTCACGCGCGCTCGCAAGCATGCCACAGATGAGGGCGGTGTAGATCCGCCAGTTTTTTCTCCTCCCCCCCTTCCCCTCCGCATCACGCGATGAGGTCATTTGAGAGGATCAAGTCCTCCAGGAAACCCCCGTTGGCGGATAGAAAAGAAATTCAGCGAGCGGGAGAAAGATGCGTGGGAGGGCTCGGACGTCGCAGATGGCGCGAGCGCACTTGGCTTGCCACCCTCACTCTCCTCTCTGCCTCTCCTCCTCCACCCCTCCATCTCCTCTCCAACGGCTCGGACCCCAACCAACTGAACCACGTCCTTGGCGACCTCGAGGACTACTGCAACGCAGTGGGGGACGACAGCCAGTTCAAGAGGCTTTTCCGCGTGGAGATCCAGCAGTGGCAGACCTCGAAGGACGAGGTCCTCCGGCGGAGACTGCCCGCGCGCGCAACGCCGCACACCCTCGGCCGAGGGTCGTTGGCCCATCGGAGCGGTGGGCCAGCAGGGCGATGGGACGATCCCACGCCAACGCCAGGCGTCAGTGTAGCCAAATGGGCCAAGGAATCCTGCAGGACTCAAGCCCGCCTTGGTCTACAGGCGCACCCAGGATGGCCCTTGCCCGCAGGCCGAGGTGCTCGTCGGTCACGCGGCCGTCGCTGCCCCCGTCGCCATCCCAGAAGCCGAGTGGAAGGCTTGGGAGGACACGTGGGCGGACCCCGAGGTCGACGAGGCTGCCATCCTTCAGGCCCCCGACGCACTGCTGCGCAGGGGGGCGGAGACGCCGAAGGGACCTCATCGCGCTGGAAGTGCTGGACGCGGTCCTCGCCGAGACACCTTCCAGAAGGGCGTTCGGGATCGACGACATTTCGGCCACTGGCATCCAGAGCCTGCCGCCCTCGGCGCTAGACAGGGGCTCGTCGACCTGCTCAACCTCAACCTCATTGAGCAGCACGGGGTGTGGCCGTGGCAGCTGACCACCACCATAGGCGCTGCGTAGCCTAAATCAGCGGGAGGAGATCGTGTGCTCGGCATGCTCGCTATGGTTGCCAAGACCTTACCCAAAGCCGCGCTCGTCGGTTACCGACTCGTGCGCGGAGGCGGGCCAAAACTGGTGGGACACCGCCATCAAGGGCTCCTCGGCCCTTCGTGCGGCCATCGTCCGCACGTTGATGGATGAGACCGCCACTACACCATGGGCTTCTGCACGGCCACCCTGCTGATGGACATCAAGAAGTTTCACGACAGCACCAGACTCAGGAGGCTCTTGGATCACGGGCCTCGACCAAGGCTTTCCTGCCATCGTCTTGACGTTGGAGACCCAGCTCTTCATGCCGCCGAGGCGGCTGAGGCGGCAGAAGTGGCTTGGCCCGCTGCTCAGGCAAGTCTGGTGGCGGGCTCCTGGCACGGCAACAGGTTCACCAGGCTCTTCCTGGCCCCGATTTTGGCGGAGACCCACAGGAAGCGGGAGAACTCACAGCTCTGGACCTTCGTGGGCGATACCGTCGCCAGAGCGGAGGGCACCCAGAGCCATGCTCGCTCAACCATCTTGGGGGTCGCGCAGACGCCCAAGAAGGGCCTCATCCAGCTGCAGATCGAGGTTTCGGACAAGGCGGTGATCATCTCCAGCAGCCCTGCCCTGGCACGTGAGCTGCAACGCGCACTTCATCGTCGGGGCTTACCTTGAACGGCCGCCACCAAGGCCACTGACCTGGGAGTTGACGTTGCTGCTGGCTGAGCGAGGCCCCAGCGCAAGGCTGCCACCAGGAAGAAGGCTGCGCACTCACAGTTTAGGCACATCTCCCACTTGCGCCAACATTCAGGAGGGGAAACCACACACACAGACACAATTAATCGTCGATTTCCCAGAAACTATTGGAAAATATGGGCAGTGTGGGGGAAGACAGACACCCAGAAGATATGGGAACATATGGGGAATCAGTTTATTTGTGTGTATGTATTTGTGTGTCCTTGGGCCCCTTGGAACATTTGCGCCTCAGTAGGCTTTCCAAAGTAATGTGGTCGACAGCACACTTCCCCAGGGCCACCTACATGCACCAGGCCAGGGGGTTGGCCCCAGCCGCCATCCTCAAGTGGCGGAGGGCTGCCAGTGTGTCAGCGGCGGGGCGAGGCCCACTTAGGTGCTCGATGAGCATCTTGGGCGCGCTCCACGACAGCAAGGAGCCATGGATCGAGGTGCGCCGCCAGCTTCTGGCCGAGGGGCTGGACCTCTGGGGGCGAGCGCTGCAGCCTCACCGCAGAGTCCACGTCGCACGGCCCAGACTCTGTGCCAAACTCCTGCGCGCTGGACACAAAGGCAGATGGCGAGCGGTCTGCGGCCCCAAGGCTGCCGTCAGTGCGCTGCTGCTGGACGTGGGTCAGACACCCAGTTCGGCCGCGCGCTGGACAACCTGGGGCGGTACCCAGTGGCTCCTTCCTACTCCGGAAAACCCCGACATATTCACGCCGGCCGTCCAGGTACAGTCTGTAGAGGCCGTCATGCTGCTGCTGCTGTGGCAGCAGGCCAACAAGCACGTCGATGGCGAGGAGCTGTTGCACGGGGCATACGCCATGATGACCGCCAAAGGGCAGCAGCGCTTCATTGCCAACGGGCAGATCGACCTCTACAGCCAGAACCTGGTGGTGGTGTTTGGCGGACAGTTGCCGCGTGAATGCCAGCAGATGGCAGGCTACGAGCTGGGCTCCACCCTCTGCCCGAGTTGCGGCGCCGAAAAGGAAATGCTATTCCACAGGATCTTGTCGTCCCCCGCGAGCTGCGATGTACGACGAGATGGCGGACTTGCAGGAGCAGGCGGGGGCGCAGCACGCGCACCCCACACAACCCTGCGGGTCCGCGGCCTGCCCGCCAAGTCAGCCACCACGGCAGCCTTCGACGAGGACTTCGCGGGGTGGCAGGTGGACGTCGGCGAACTCGATCACGCGAGGGGCGAGGACGGCGTCCTCCACCTGTTCGGCGACGGGGGCGGAGGCGAGCACGGGGGGCGGCCCTCGTCGCCGCAGTGTTGGTGCAGGCCTCGGCTCAAGCGCCCTCGGCCCTGCGACGGCCACCGGGACCTTCAGAGGCGGCGCCGTCGGAGAGTCTCAGCGCGCCAGGCAGTGCCACGTGCTGAATTCCTCGCTTTGTATGTTTGAACATTTGCGGTTCGACGGCCACCCAAGGAGTCAAGGGACTAGCCCTAGCGTGCGCTCGCACACCCATCAAACAGGGCCACGATAACCTTTTAAAGAACCCACCGCAGCCATCACCCGAGCTGTGCGGGCATGTCCAAGGCAGCCACGCAGTAGTGTGATGCAAGCTGGTGTCGGGATGCCTGGCCTGCGCTCCATGGAGGGCCCTCCTGCGGGCTCTCAGGGCCCCTCTGGGGGACACTGCGTCCCCACCGTCCTCAATCCTCAACCCTCCGTCTCCTCTCTCCCCCTGCCTCCCTTGCCCTCCCTCCCCCTCCCTCGTTGCCCCCGTTGCCCTCCCTGTCCTCCCCATCCCCCCATCGTGCTCCTGCTCGCCCCTGCGCCTCCTTGCAGCCTGCCCCTTCGCTGCCCGGGCCCCCCGCCCCCCGTCGCCGCGCCCTGGCCGGAGAGAAGGCGCGGGGCCGGCACACGGCCAGCCGTGCAGCCTTTTACAGCCTGGACGTGGCGTGTGCGCCCGCAGCTGACCGCGCCGCTCGCACGCTGGCGCCGCTGGTTCCACGCATGCCGTGCCGCACCCTTCGTCCTGTGAGCCGGGCAAGGCTTTCCTTTTCGGGGGCGGAAAAGAGGGGGGGTGGTGACTAGGGGGGGGGGATATCATGGCGGGGGCCATGATATTTCCCCAGATTTCATGGCGCCACTTCTTGTTTCATTACGCCCGTGGCCCCCCCGCTGGGCCGCGCACATGCCGCCGGTCATGATTTGCACCCCCCCCTCTTGGACACCCCCCTCTTGGCCGCTCCCGATTGAACCGGGCAAGGCTTTTCCTTTGGCCCCAGTCAGGTACAGCTGGACCGAGGTATACGGTCGAGGTCGATTCGGGGAGGGATGTTGTTCGCGTTTGCGGGATGTTCTTGTGCATCCTGGGCGGGGGGGTACTTTTGGATGTTCCGTTTGTGTTGGCCGATGGAGGGCCTCATGCTCTTGGAGGGATGTTCTCCTGGCCCGGGTGTTGCGGCTGGCACCACGGCCTCTGTTTGTGGTACTGCTAGCCCTGCCGCTCCTGCTGCCGCTGCTTCTGCTACTGCTACTGCTACTGCTACTGCCGCCTTCGCTGCTGCTGGTTCTCTTTCTGCTACCGCTACCGTTGCCCCTTGTGTCCACGACTGCGCACACTTCAGTCTTATGCACACGGGAACCCCATCCCCCATCCCCCTAGGCACCCTCATCTTCGGCCCTCCCTGGGCTGTGGATTTTCCACAGGGACCTCGAAGCTGGAACAAAGCTCGCTGCCCACTGGGACGCCTGGGTCAGAGTCGCGGATTCCCTCACGGTGTTGCTGAGTGGGGCCGCCATCGGCTCCCCAGAGACACACCCCAGCATTCCAGCAGTTTTTCAGACATCACACAACGGTGCGGTGACCACACCGTCTCAGGTGGGGCAGAAGTGCTTCGGGGTGACCGTACGGTTTTGGGACTTGGGTCTTTCTCCGAGGATGCCTCGGGCGACGGTGGTTTCCGGGGTCTGTAACCGCATGGTCTTGGGACTCCCGAAGTCCTAGGCTGGAATTTATCCGTCACCACCGCCTGGGGGATCGGTCTTCGAGGACCTCGGCAGGCGGCGGGTGTGGGTACGTTCGGCCCCTGGGGTGGCCAACTGCATCCATATGCGACCGCGAGGTCCTCGAAGAACGGCCCCGCAGGCGGCGATGATGGGCAAAGCCCCGCCTCGCACAGAGTCCGCTTCGGCGACGAGTGGGCGGAGGGAGCGGAGGACAAGGGCGACGCCCTGGGCTCGGGCGCGGCGGCCAACATAGACGACCCCGCAGGAGCGCGGCGCCCCCTCCGCCGTTGTGCCGCGGCCGCTTTCCCTCTCGGGGCCCCGCGCGCCCCCCTGACGCCCAGCGGACTGTTTTTTAATCTCTCTCTCTCTCTCTCTTTCCTCCTCCTCCTTCTCCTCCTCCACCTCCTCCTCCTCCTCCTCCTCCTCATCTTCCTCCTCCTTCTCCTTCTCCTTCTCCTCCTCCTCCTTCTCCACCTCCCCCTCCTCCTCCTCCTCCTCCTCCTCCTCCTCCTCCTCCTCCTCCTCCTCCTACGAACTCTTTCTCTACGCGAAGCTCCACCTCCTCCTCTTCCTTCCGCCTCCTCCTCCTCCTCCTTCTCCTCCTCCGCCTCCTCCTCCTCCGCCTCTCTCGAGCGCCGCGAGCGCAGGCGACGGGTCAGGCAACAGTGATCGACACACATCCTTACGATCGGCTTCGCTGTTTTTCTGCACGGGGCAAAAGCGGGCTGGTCACGTCCACAAAGGTGACGTGCCGGAGACGCTGCCGTCAACCGCCCACACCATATCTCAGGCACCCCACGGTCAGGCGATGGCAAGTATGAATCACGGGGGCTTGGTTTAGCGGCGGGGGGTCCTGTTCCCATGGGAGGTCGAGGATTTCCGCCGCCGAGCGAGGCGGCACCGGCAGCATTTTGGGGAGGGTGCCTCCCCCGATCCGTCCATGCGGCGACCGCGCGCCTCCGACCACCTCTCCAGAAGTCCAGACCCTTTCCCAATGGATTGGTGTTTCATCCTCTCGAGCCGATGTTTGGCAGCCCTGGGGCCCTATGAGGGGGGATTGGGAGCCCCCAGAAGCTAAAAGCGGCTAACGCATTCCCTCTCGCCTGGAGGTCTGGGATTGAGACCGCGATTATAGGGACGCACCTTCCTGCTATCTTTCCATCGGTCCTCCTCTGTGAGCTTGCGATGCTCGTGGGCAGTGGCGTGGCGGTGGCCGCGGCATTTCCGAGAGTTGCGCATGGATGTTAGTTGCTGGTGGAGTGCTTGCGGTGACAACAATCGGCGGCGAGCCCAGGGGGGGAGTGCAGAGGAAACGGGCCTTCTAAGAAGGCCCCCGGAAGGCCTCGGGCCTTCTGAGAAGTCTTCCGAGCCTCTCCCGAAGACGCCGAAAACACCCCAGAAGGCCTGAGGGCTTCCGAGCAGCCCCGCCGCCCTCTGAGAAGACCTGGTCCTCCTCACCTCCCCCCTGGGCGCGCCGCCGAGAAGAGGAGGAGGAGGAGGAAGAGGAGAAGGAGGAGGAGGAAGAGGAGGAGGAGGAGGAGATTGGGGAGGAGGAGGAGGAGGAGGGAGGAAAGTGAGGAGGAGGGAGCGGAGGAGCAGGTCCTCCTCCTCCAGGAGAAGATCTCACGGCCTGCCACCGCTTCCTCCCGCGCGGGCGAGACGCCCACCACACTCGAGGGGCTGCCCTGCTTGCTCGGCCTCGGGCCAGATCGCCACCGCCCGACCACCTCCACGGGGCCGACTTCCCGTCCTGAGTCCTTCTCTTCTTCCCCTCCTCCTCTCTCCTCCTCCTCCCTCCTCCTCCTCCTCCTCCCTCCCTCTCCTCCCTCCCCAATCCCTTTCCTTCCCCTCTTCCTATTCCTCCCTCCTCCTCCTCCACCTCCTCTCTCTCCTCCTCCTCCTCCTCCTCCTCATCCTCCTCCTCCCCCCCTCCTCCCTCATCCTCCTTCTCCTTCTCCTCCTCCTCCTCTTTCTTCCCCTCCTTCTCCTCCCCCTCCTCCCCCTGCTCCTCCTCCTCCTCCTCCTCCTCCTCCTCGTCCTCCTCCTCCTCCTCCATTTTCTCCTCCTCCTCCTCCTCCTCCGCATCATCCACCTCCTCTTCGGCCAGGGAACCGCCTCCATGAAGAGGCCGACAGCTAGAGGCGGACGCAAATCTGGTCAAGCTCGGTCCCCAGACCCCTCCCAGGGTCCAAACTAACCAGCGTTTTGAGCAGCATCCGACCGTGGCGGCGAGGGAATCCCCTTTCTCCCCTCCTTCCCGCTGGCTGGAAGCAGTGCTGTGCCACATCGGCTCCCCAGCTGGCTCCAAGCCGAACGCCGCGAAACACCTGTTGTTTTGTCAGTTGCAGCGTTTGGGATGGCGCGAAGAATGAATGGCTCCTGCACTCGGAGAGAACATGTATTGTGAATCTGGCTAAAGGGCCGGACTGAGCCAGCATTGCATGTCCTAGTTGCGTCTGCGCGTCTTTCGGCGTACGACATGTGTTGTGCGGGGCTCGGACGAGGCTAAATCCGTTCCAGAGCTGGCAGCGTTCCGGAGCGCTCCGAGCAGGCCGCGGCGCCCGAGACATCCTCCAGAGCCGCCCGATCTCAGAGGTTGTCGAGTTACCCTCACCAGAATTTGTCCTCGTCCTGGCGTCGTCTTATTGCTCGGCGTCGCTCGGACGTGTGCCTGTTTTCTCGGCCAGAACCATCGAGGAGGATCTTGGACCAGCTTGCGAAACAGAACACGCACGACACCGAACCATGCACGGGGAATCTTCGTCCAAACAACGGCAAGATTGTGAGTTGGAGGGTGTTGGAGGCCCAGGCATTGACACCAACACCAATATCGGCTGTGTGCCTCCACCGAGGGCAGCTGATCCCGACCTCGGTAATGGTGGTCATTCTCGGGCTTCCTGGGTGACCGAAGTATGACCACCAACGCCAACATCGACGGGCAAGGTCGGACTGGGCCATAAGCACTGATCGAAAGCCACGTCGGCCGTCCAGGATCCCATCGTCGGATCAGCGAACTGTCAGAGCCACAACCGAGGGGGCAGTTGTCCACACAGACGAACGCCAACATCTAGGATCATCCTGCCCCGGTGGAGGCAATCCCCTTTGGAACTGGTGCTCCTCTCGAGGCCTCCAGGAGCGCACGCGTGCCATCGACCCCTTCCTCCTCCTCCTCCTCCTCCTCCTTCTCCTCCGCCACTCCTTTTCCTTATAGATGATTTTTCCCTGTCGCACCCGAGGCCAGTTCTTAGGGCGGGCCAGGCGTGTCGTCTGAGACTTACTCACCACGTATGACCCTGAAGCTTAAACAATGGTAGCCGTTTCACACATGGAGGGCGGGCCGTGTTCGAAATGTGGCTCTCGCCTAAGCGCCGCGCACATTCGTTTTCAACAGTTTAAAGATGTCTTCGTTTGAGGACGGGTGGTTTTCAAATGTGTCTCTCGCCTTAGCGCTGCGCGCACTCATTTGTTAATCGTTGCAAGAAGTTCACGGATTGAGGGCGAGTCGTATGCAAATTGCGGTTCTGTCCCAAGCGCCGCGCGCATTCGATTTAAACATTTGCAAAAGTTTCACGGGTTGAGGGCGGGTGGTTTTCAACATGTGGTTCTCGCCTTAGCGCCGCGCACATGCGTTGTAACAAATTGCAAGAGTTTCACGGATTGAGGGCGGTTCCTGTTCAACATGTTGTTCTCGCCTTAGCGCCGCGCACATACGCTAAACAAATCGAGGAATGTCACGGGTTCCCATGATCAGCGTACCAGAACTTGCGTTTTGGAAGGATTCAGAATTATGAGGGTGCAACGGTTACCTTGATTCGCGGTGTTGAAGTCCCAGGAATGGCGTTCTGACACGATTCAGGATCGTCCACACGCAAGAGTCAGGGTGATCAGTGGCGTTGGAATCCTGGGAACACTGTTTTGGCATGCCTCATGCTCTTCAAACGGCTGACTTCCAACGAGGCAGTTCCCTCAGTGAGAATGAACCGCTTTATGGGGCCCATGGACAGAGAGCTTGGAGGGAGGGTTTATTCCAACATCGTTGATGACTCCTTGGTTTGCACTGGTCCGCCTCCTCCTCCTCCTCCTCCTCCTCCTCATCCCCCCTCTCCTCCTCCTCCTCCTCCTCCTCCTCCTCCTCCTCCCCCTCCTCCTCCTCCTCCTCCCTCCCTCCTCCCTCCTCCTCCTCCTCCCCAATCCATCTCCTTCCCTCCTCCTCCTCCTCCTCCTCCTTCTCTCCTCCCCCTCCTCCTCCTCCCCCCCTCCCCCTCCTCCCCCGCCCCCCCCGCCGCCCGAGGGCTCTTCTCCGGGGAGGGCGCCCCGGGCGCGGGCAGAAGGCGCGCCCGCCTCCGCCGCCGCCGCCGCGCGCAGCCGCCGCACATGTGCCCCCCCCCCACCGCACTGCCGGGGGGGGAGAGGGTCGCTTGCCTCATCTGCACGAACGAAATGGGTACGGAAAGAATGGGTACAATGCCCAACAGCAGTTACTGCTCATGTTGAACAGGACTCGCTGTCCGCGCCGCCGCGGCCTGTGTCCATTTGAGACAGGAGGCCGCCTGCCCAACAGCGGCCGCTGTTGGGCTGGGGCAGCATTTGTTGTTGGGCATTGTACCCCTTCTTTCCGTGCCCATTTCGGGCGTCCAAACTTTAGGTCGGGCATGTGTTCCCACAGGCGGGTTCAGGAAGAAGAACGAAACATAGTCGAAACCATCAGAAGACTCATCACCTGGCGACCTCTTGTCTACCTTTGAAGATTCCTCCTGTGGAGGGACGTGCTGGACTTAAGGCCTACTTGGGAGCACCCCCGCGACGCAGGAAAGGTCCTCGAGCACAAAAAAACCTTGACCCTCGTGATACGATGAAGACGTGGCCTCACCGAGATCCTCGTCTTCGCATTCGGGATCATACATTTTGTCTGGTACATTTGCAGAGAAGACCCCCTATCCCTTATGTGTTTTGCCCTCCTACTTACGCACTTAGGTCCCCTCCCAAAGGTTTAGGGGTCTTTTTTAGGTTCACCAAAGGGTTTGGCCTGCGATGGCTTGCGCATTTAGCTGCCCTTCGGCGGCGAGCGAGGGGGGGGCAGTGAGAAGGAGGAGGCCTTCTGAGAATGTGGCGGGACTTCTGAGAAGCCCTCGCGGCTTTGAGAGGTTTTCTCTGTCTCCGGGGAAGGCTCAGAGAACTTCTCAGAAGTCCGGGGGACGTCCAAGCCTTCGAGAACGCCCGCCACTTCTCACTTCCCCCTTGGGCTCGCCGCCG